TGTTTATCCCCAATTAACTCACGATACGAACCTAAATATATTGTTTCGGTTTTCAGAAAAGTGTTCGTTCTTTTTATGAAGAAGTTTTAGTATATTAACTAACTTAAAAAGAGGTTGAAGTCGGTTTTTTTAAATGTAGTTTATTATTAGATAATGTTGAGAATATCGATTCAATACTTTTTTATTTATCATTTCATATACTGCTGTATGTCCGCTAACAATATTATAGAGGATAACACGTTACAAGCGTGAGGTACTTAGTTGATTTAAAAAATCGGATTACGTACCTACTTACTCGAATTTTTCACTTTTCTGAGCATTTAACTTAGCCTATTTTACTAATCAGTCACATTTACTTCCGAATATTATGGAAATTGTCGTGTAATACACGTCAATCTAAAATTAAATTCGCTGCTCAATATTCTCAGAACCTCGCAGATTATAATATACGCTTTTAACAGAATAATAAATCTTTAGTTTAACAGCGTAGGAGTAAGCAAACGACAATTAATATATAAACAACGTACCTATACTTTATATTACAACTTTATAAACAGAGGGAACAAATAATACACGCCAAGTATATTACTTTTACTTGAATACTGTTGTATAAAGCTTTAATACAAGTTAAACGCTGTACGTAACCTACATACCATTTTTATACAACATATGTATAAAAACTTCTTGTGTACTTAAAACGTTACTATTACATACGTCACGATTAAATTGTTATGTGGTATAATGAAATTAAAATATGTTCAGTAATTAAAAGTTCTTATTTAATTTAATAAGAAGAAATGTGCAGAACAGTAATTGTGCTATTATTATGCTCATATTGTATATGTGTAGGTGCAATCTTTAGATCCAAGAAAGGGTAAAAAAGGTGTAAGTATAGAAATTCCAAACTCGGTGCTAATTGTAATCGAAAAATTTAAATGAGACCCATGCTTTGGTATGATGGTCCGGCTCGACCTGAGTGATACCACAACCTCACAGAAAACCGAAGTGAAACAACGCTTGCGTTGTGTTTCGTGTGAGTGAACGGAAGCCCAATTACCTCCTCCCTTCCCCAATCTCTCCAATTCCTGAGTCCCCAACAACCCTAAAATGGCTGGTAACGCACTTGTAATGGCTTCGGTGTTCCAGGTGTCCATGGGCGAGGCCGATTGCTTACCATCAGAGGATTCGTCTGCTCGTTTACCGAATTATCCCCTATAAGAAAAAATACTGACCTTTGAATCGGATTCAAGGCTTGGTGTAAGATAAGTAATATAAATTGGTTTGGTCACTGGATCGGATAAATAATAATGAAAATCGAAAATAATGCAGCAATACATACCTACCTACTACGTAAAAGAATTACCTACATCTTTGAATTAAGATTTATGATTTTTCAAAGTACTAGTTTACGTTGACAGGAATAAAAACTAATGTCATGATTATGAAAGTTTGTATGTTTGCTTGCCTGTTTGTTTGTTACTCCTTCACGTCAGAATGGCCGAAGGGATTGGGATGTAATTTATACGAGGCGTAGAATATAGTCTGGGGTAAATCTAACGCGAAACCGATGGTAGAAGCTAGTTAATAATAAAAATAACAATTATCTGCCAATGGCCTCATTGCTAAAAGCCTCGACCAACATCTGAGTAGGCTAGCGTTAGATGGTTGGGTCAAGGGCCCGATGCAGAAAGCTGTACTTCTGGACACGGCGCGTATTGTCCGGAAATTCCTTTCTCTGGAGCCCTGACCGCCGTAGCTTGGATTTCTCCCGTTACTAGTGGGCTACTGCTTTTTATATTTTAAATTTTTTTTTTTTATATAATCAAATATTTAAAAATGTATAAATCAAGTATAGAGATAAATAAAGGAAATAATAAAGTAACAACTCCTCAGTAATTATGTCACATGATTTATTTATATTCAATTCTTTTGAGCTACACGATATATTCATTATGTACAAACTCGTATTTATACGCTATAAATATTCAATAACAATAAGCAACAATAACTGCGCACTTTATGAACTGCATCCCACAAAATTACATTTATCTTATATTACAATTAAATAGGTAATATATTTCCGTGCCTCACTCACTTTATTAATATAAAATATGAATAAATGTACAGTTCGTCTATTGATTTATAAATTTGAAATTATAAATTAGCATCGATAAATGATTAGACTCGGAAAAATGTATTTGCGATGCTTATAATCATCAAAACGTATCCACTCATTCTCAAACTTGTTTAAAATGGTAAAAATAACTTGTCTTTCATTTATTATCATCTCAAGCTAATTTATGAATACGATATATTAATCCAATATTGGGCAATATGTAGTTGCAATCAAGGTTGATATTGGTTCAAACTATGGGATTTTGCTCAGCAATGAGCAGCGTAATATCGAAAATTCCAGCATTATTTGTGATTGCTATTGAACTACAACTGGACATTGACACAAGCCGATACATTGACAATGTGCATATTTATATTCCCCATTTGATATTGCAGTTGTAATGGACATTTTGTTCCATTAATAAATACATTAACGTATTTTGAATTTAAATTTTTTCCACAGTTTACATCAGAGCTTGTGGAGATGGCTGTGTAAGTGCCTACATTACCTATTCTAGATTCAATTCAGTAAACTGTAGGCCAAAATCCTTTAGTAAAACCACGTTTAATGAATGAGAACGAGTTAGATGAATGGAAGCTTTCAAAATTCTGGTGTTAAGCCGGTAAGAACCGGCAGAATGCGGTAAAATGGGGTTTCACCGGCTGAGTTCGCCATTTCCTTTGCATCTTCATTTTTACATAATTGATATGCGTTCAAATCACGAAGAGTAAAATAAACATTTTTGTTTTCCAACTCAAGGAAAATCGTATTTATTTTCAAGGAAAATATGCTTATAATGATAGTGGAATAAGGGAATTAAGTCAATGTATAGGAAATTCACTCAAACCGATACCTTCTTGTTTCCCAAATAATTTGCTTATTTTTCCATATTTCTGTATTATTTCTCCTGAATTAAAAATTTTCTATTAACATTTATCCCTGTACATTCAATAATATACTTGAATCATGTAACGAGTCTATCTCACAAAGAGCAAATATAATTTAGTAAGTAGACCGAAACTGGGACATCACATAAAAACAACAGTCACTTTAGAAACGTTAAAATTGTATAATGGTGACTAGGTAAATATAAATTGAACAAATTCTAGAAATTGATGCGACGAACATTAACTGCAGGACCATCATGCTACTCACGTTTTACTGATACCTTTACTCATAATTTAATTAAAACAAATTGCTGGAGTTCGCATCAACTTATAAAATAAGTTTTTACCTAACTATAAATATAATACATTTACAAATATATACATTGTAATATATCTCTTTATGCTCTATAAATACTACATAATTTTAAATAATATATTTATGTTAAACATTTTCATTCCACTTAGGATTACCCAATTAAGTTGTTTGTTTTCGTATCGAATTTATACACGTTATTTCATTGAATTTACATATATTGGGATGCCAAAATATTACCGAACATTGCTACCAGGAAAGTAATTACAATAGCCGTGTAATTTCGAACGCAATAATATTTACTAGCCTGGCGTAAAGTATGAAAATATTACCAAACATTGTACAAGATACAATGACGCACAATATTTTTACTGGCTAATATTTTCCCTTCATTATGTAGTTTCATTTGTTTTTATTCACCCGCCATTATTAGTGATGTAACTAGCTGAAAATACGGAAGTATGAGCTCAAATAAAACCCATAAAACTACACTAGAACCGCTCCTTTAACGTTTGCTCCTATAACCACAAAAGCGTTGAGAGTGAGTTTGTCTATAGAAGAGTTCTTGTAAAACAAAGTTTTCCTAGTAGCTGCTATATTGTATTGCCTGATCGCAAGTTCGAAACTTAACCCCGTCTCACTTCCCTCGTAAGTTGCACCAATTACCTGGGAATCATTCATGCGTAGAATAATGGCGAAAACTGTCTGATTCTTGTTTGAAAAATACTCCGTAAACACTTGAGAGGCGTATTAGGAGAGATTAAGATGTATAGTGTGAAGATCGCATCAAACCAACAAACGCGTTTGATGTTATAAATAACTTCAACGAGTGTTGTGTTCGAATAAAATGTATATTCTCGTTTAACGCACTGCGCCCCGTTTCACGATGGATGTCACCTCCAATGCCATAAACTACACGTGCGTCGGGCACAGCCGATGATTGCAGCAATTTACATGAACAAAGTAAAACTCATTTAGACACAACGAGGACGTATCGATTTTTTGAACTAGGTTTTCAAGTTAATATAATTTTAATTTAAGAATATGTTTTTTCTTCAAGAAATTAAGCTAGTCAATCATATTGAAAATCCTGTGATCATTCATCATTCTACATATTTGAGAATTTCACTGTAAATTAAAATATATCCCATCATACAACCAGTTGTGTCCTTATGCAACGTACACATAATAAATGCAAGGCTTTACAATATTAATTGCCTTTGTAAAATACAGTTAGTGAACGATAATGATATGTTAACATTATGAAATGACATACTTAGGTAGGTACTTATAATTTATATACAACATACAACGGTGTCTCACCGTCAATTGGAATGGCGAGATGTACATAATATTTGCATTTGAAATTCTAAAATAAATCATAAAAAATGGTAGACTGTTACGGTACTTTGGTTACCTTTGGAACAATGCACGAGGTGCAAAATTAAAATACTGATTGTTATTCTGACATTAATGGCACACGTATCGACACAAAGCAGGATTTGTCGGCTATTCTATAAGTACGTCACTTAGATTAGTCAGACATGCAAAATTGGATACATTCGTATAAGCCTAAGTCTCGTAGTCGTATTGAATAAAGCATTTATTTCGAAAGTTTTAGCACATTTCATCACTTTATTTAGCTACAAAACTTCACTAATAGTTTGTTTTAAAAATTGTTCTTTTACGAATGGTACTTGTGTTGTGATATGTGTATTATGACACAGAGGAGGGGCAGGTAGAGTGTGATGGCGTGGGTAGCGGCTGCACTGCCTGGCTTCCCCGCCGCTTGCACCCTGTCAGCCCTGGAGCTCTCAGTCAGCTCCCTGGACCTGGAGTACCCCTTCAGTCTCTCACCCTGCACACTCTCTTCATTGCTCCGCCAATACACTGTTGCTATTGTTGCTAGACACTGAAACAATATAAAAGCCATTACTAACAAACAAACAACAGTCTTACCTTTAATCTCTTTAAAATCCAATAACTTACATCGAGTATGTAATAATATCAAAAAAATCCCAATATACTTTCGGTAGGGCTATCAGCAAAGCGAAGATTGCGTGAGGGGTACTGTATAAGGGTTGTCACGGCAACTAACCGAATTCAACGTCCCTACGTATGACCTAATTATATAAACCACATTTTATGTGTCATCAACCCTTGACTTTTCTACAAATTGTATAAAAAATATTGTCAAGTTATTCACCGCCATTTGTGGTCATTTCAAGTTAATCACTTCTTCTAATAAAGTGCAGAGAATTGTACAAAATGTTGGTTAAATGTATCACATATTTCTACTTATTATTTTCTTCTTTGTTCGCATATATAAATATATAGCACTTAATTTCCATTCGTAGGTTCCCATTGTGTATTCTATTAACTTAAGGATCACTGCAGTAAATCAAAGTTGTTCTCATTAGTCATTAATTTATTCAGACCTCGAACGGACCAGTTCCCAAAACTATGCAACAATGCTCCGTTTAGGCGTATTTGCACGGACATTCAAATTAAGTTGATGTGTACCAATCTGAAAGTTCGGAAATTTGGCGCAACACTAATTCGGCAGTGCTATCGAACATTCGAGTTTGAAGGCGCGCTGGCTTCACTAACGTTTCGGCGATATTACTTACCCACATGCCATGCCTTGTGCCAGATCATGAATATACCTAATGACTTCCTACTTTAAAGACTAAAATTCTGTAAAGTAAACATACAATGTGGACGACAATAGGACGATACCTATTTAGCATTTTCCTTCAATCTTTACGACGAAAAATGTCTTGTTGTAGAACGTTGTGAAATAGTAATTTAAGCCTTCTTACCTTAAGTTTTAGGTCTCCTTTCCTAAAATGTTTAGGCTTCACTTTGAAGTCGAGCGCCAGACTTGTGGTTTCCAGTCCATCTTCATGCTTCTCGTGTGTGGGTGGTACGAGAGCTATAGAGGGGGCTGGTTCTCCATTGATATACCATGCTAGTCTTGTGGCAGGTCTGGACCGACCTGATGTGCAATTGACTTGGACTCTATCTCCAATCTGGTATCGAAGACGGGACCCTGTGATTGTGGGACCGTGGTCAGGAAGAGCTGGGAGAAGAGAAAATAATATTAAATATTCTGTCCTTTTCAAATTCTATAACGTCGCTTAAAAATGAATATCGGAAAGTAAACTTAAATATGAAGTATTCCTACAATATATCGCGGAAAACTGAAACTAAGTGATTGATTTTAGTGTGTGGAAATCGATGGCAATGTTTGAGCGAAATGTACCTACAAGTTTACGCCATAGGAATAATAAACTAGGCAGAACATTACTATATAATAATTTTATTTTTAGTCCGCTTCCCAGAATTTTATTATCAGCAAAGCCTTCTTTGAAAATGCTCAACCAATAAAGTTTCGAGAACAAGGAAAGTATTTTTATTTACAAATAGAATTCATTTATTAACTAAGTTACTGTATCAAGTAAGTTACTTAAGTAATGTACAAAAATGTAGTGGATGCGATTACTTAATTGTGTTGCAATTCCACAGAGTAAGGTAATAAACTAATGTTCCGTCCTCTCCCTCCATCTCCAAATTGGAATTCACTTTGGGAGCAAACGTCATGAGCTACGTCCAATGAACTAAGCAGCCATTTTGTTGAAATTGAAATTGGAATCTGTAACGAATTATCTTTTTTAAATTAATTTTTACTTGTTTTGTAAATTTTTTGAACACCAGCCTTGCATTATGTCATTGTTCAATTAATAATTTATAAAAAATCTTTTAGTTTTTTTACAATTCTGTCTAAAAGTAATCCCATTAATTGTTTCTTCGTATTAAATACTTCGAATGAGGTTTAACAGTTTTGCAAATATAATTGTATCTATAAAAACTAATTTTTGCGAGCAATGACTCATCATTTCATTATTTCTAAATCCGGATTTTAGTTAAGCTATCACATATGGTATAACTTTTGATAAAGATAAAATTTTCTTTAGTCTAGAAAACAAGTACCGATATAAAACACGTAACTATCATGCTAACTTAACCTACATACACGAAACACCTTACCAACAATAACCATGTCTCCATGATCGGACACGGTAGGGAACAGGGGTCGTTCTCCCGACACCTCGCACCGGTAACGGCCCCCCGTCTCCAACACGGCAGGGTAGAGCGTTATATTTGCACCATTTGGACTTGATTTCTAAAGACAAACGAACGAAAAGAGTTTTTAATATTATTTTAGAAAAAGTACTGGTTTGTAGTGAATTAGTGGTTTTTTAGCGTGCGTGCAAAATAAATTTTGATAGTATTTTTGAATTTGCTAATATAGTTATCAGCCTTATCAATTTAAGATGATTAAAACAATTTAGTTCAGTGTAATAATCTTTTTCTACTTATTCTAAATGTTTAGTTATTCTCATTCTAATGAGAACACGATTTTCCCCAATCAGAATTGTAACTAATACAATGTTCTTAATTTGTATTCGTATCCAAATTTAGATATTACTAATTTGACTCGTGTAACCTTTAAAATGTTATTGATAAAAAGGCCATATTTCGGATAAAAGGTGAGATTAGAGTACTTTGATAAAAAAATATTATAACGTAAAGATACAACTAAATTCAATTTTATTTTACATTTACAGGAATTAATATAAAAATCGTGAACAAAATCAAGATTTTGCGAAACGTAACTTATAAAAGACTTAAAAAGAAATACTGAAAAATTGCTGTAAAACCTGAATATACAACTTAGTCGTATCGTAGACGTACGTAATCTACAAAAAGGACCTATTTTTGGAAAATCTATTTCGTTATAGTAAGTTAAATAAAACAAACACAATCATTGTTCTCTACAAAGTAAATTGTTAGGAAAAGGTAGTGTTTCCAATTAAATTGCAACACTATTTAACAATTCTTGGTATCGCAAATGTTGTTTTATTAATAAACTCGTAAAAGCTCAAATTGTAGGTACCTATACCTAACCTATACCTATACCTACCTATAAAATGTTATTATAATTATTTGATGTACGAAAGTACCTACTTTTTTCAGAGTCATTACCATTAGGTAATGACTCTGAAAAAAGACTCATGTTAACATGCTAAATTATTTAACTACTATATAGGTACACTAACTGTTCCCCGCGATTCGTCCGCATTTAATAATGATTCAAAGGTTAATTCAAGGTTAATTGCAATGCTGTGTTACAAATTTCATCAGAAACAATTTATTGTGAAATATTGTTACATTTCGTAATTTAAAAAAACCGCACAGTATCCATTCCCGTGAGGTTTCAGTAATTAAAACTCCACTTGAATTCCAATCAAATAGGTACAGCGGTTGAAACAAACTATCGTTGTACCGAATTGCACTCACTTATTACACATAGGTTCAGTAGTTTAAGCAATAGCGAGTGTCGGATAGTTCCTGTCCTGTGAGATTTCCTTTCCAGGTTAGTGTCTCAACTCTTGTTGAACCGAATTTCAATCAAATAAATAAAACCACTGAACAGTGGTTAATAACATTAGTATATTCAGCCTCTTTGCATACCTTAATGTTATAACATGATAATAAAAAAAATCATTGTCTATAATCCATTGGCATGAAACTCACTTGTCAAAAATATGTCAGTAGAAAACATAGCAAGGTATAATTAATATTATAAATTTGTTTACGTCTGTTTGTTTTGCTAGAAAATGACGTGATTTTTTTTACTGAGCGGGGTTAGTAGAAATGATTGAAAGTAACATAGGCGACATTTTGTTTCTTTCTAACCCACCACTTCCCTAAAACAGGGGGTGGAAGTTTGTACGGAGCATTTCGTAATTTTTAAGAAACCTAAAATCTCTGATTCTCATGCACCTAAATACTATTGTTAGTCCCTGAAAACAGTTTTCTATTGTCAGTCAAAGGCTTAAGCAATATAAGGAGTTTTTTGGTAGTATTTTCACACATCGGGTTACATAATCGAAATTTTCACACAGTTCCCTTTATTTATTAATTATAGCCTATGTTCATCATGGATAATGTAAGATTCTAACAGTAAAAGAATTTTTCAAATCGGCCCGGTAGTTTCGGAGGAGATTCCATTCAAACAAACAAACAAACAAAAAATCAAGTCTTTCTTCATCGAGATATAAGTACTGTACGTTAGTACTTACATCTTGATGTCTTTCTTCTTTATACTATTAGTGTCTAGATGTAAATGACATGACACAATAATATTATTTTCTCCCTCGTATCGGGGCTAAATCAATAAGAAACATTTGACAATAACTTGTTAAGCGTACACAAAAGTTAAGAATTTTAAACTCCGGATTAAATTGGAAGATGGAAATCTGTTACAAATTAATATAAGAAAATCTTACCTAAAATTATTTGTTTGACTTCTCGCTTAATTGAATAACTCAATATAACTTGATTAAACTTACGAAAACACCGACGAAAAATTCTTATTGCCGAAAAATGTTGTTAAACACTTAATCCAATCTGCGGCGGCTGAGGATAAACAGTGGAAATAAAGCGTAAGCGCAGTGAGCTAAATAAACAAGGCCCGCCAATGTATAGGCCCCAGCGCGGCGCCCTGCGCGCACCGCTAATTATAACGTTGTCATTAGCTCTTCCCGGCGGCGGCCCGGTTCCGAGACTTGTGGCCCACCATTAATATATAGATTTAAATTGCTTACAAAGTTCAAAGTAACCTAAGGCTATTTTCCCATCTAAATTATTTACCTCCATACGTAAAGCTCCGTTATAAAATTTTCCCAGATTCGCGCCAATGTTTTGCTACGCTCTTAGAGTTTATTTTCTGTTTGTTCGTTATTAAACCGCTGGAGTAAACAGGGTGGTCTTAGGAAAATATCTATTAGCGATACTTCCACTAAAAGGATTTACAAAAAATCTGCTAACAGTTATTAACCCGTGTAATAACTCGTTCCAACTTCTTTTTGTAATGCTCTGTGTGAGTTATAGAGTTCCGTAGCACATAAAACGTGTATAATGTAAGAGCGGATACCTCCGCACATAAAAACTCTCGTGAATGTTACATTTATTTGGAGATATTGTTTTCATTACGTTTTGTTTGCTCGATAAATATAAAAAAGCAATAAAAATTTGTAAATGGGTTGTAGATGATAAGCGGCGGCAGCTAAATGAAAGAAAGTATAAATGAGTCCCGCATGAGAGCGCGTGTGTTTACACCTGCGCCTCTTCACCGCGTAATATCCGGTCCAGTTTTATATTGTTTCCTCTCGGCGAGACCTAAGCAAACTCGACTCACGACCGGATTAATCCAATTATACGTATCTACTCTAAAAGTTCATCCGTATTATCTGTTCAGCCGCGGCATTTACACAATTGTTTGAGAACAAACCTGCATGGTGGGGAGGGGAGTATCGAAACTCTTCAAACTAAGTGGTTGACAATATTACGCGAAAGATATTAAAAGTGTGACATGAATATCGATTTAAAGCGGAACTTCCTAGGTATACGGCGCTCGTCTCACTTACCGCAGTATCGTGAACGTCTATATCAATTTTGTTTAAGCAGGTATGAGTAATTTGACATTTTAGTGACTTTTTGGAGAAGCATCAGTATTGTGTATAAAAAAATATTTCTTGCAAACTGTATATTCAGATATACAGACGAAATTTAATTACGGGAAGATATCGCTGTATACTGGATCACGGTTTTACTTTACATTCCATTTAACCCAAACAATAGGATGGCATGACAACTGTATTAGATCCAGATTCTATCAGATATACATACAAAGCAAATTCGGAAGACTTACGTAAATGTTTCTATTATATAACTGGAAAACATTGGCATTGTAGTATATATAGTAGTATGTATAGTTTCGTCCGCGGTACCGTAAGATAAAAAGTGGTCTGTGTATTATTCCGGATCATAATATACCCCTTTGCCATCGATCCCTTCAGCCATTTTAATGTGAAAGAGTAACAAACACACACACACACACATACAACTTTGGCATTTATACTATTAATAGGATTCATTCAGATATTACAGGTAAGCAAACATACAATACATAAAGATACAAGATATTACAAAAAAGATCAAGATAAATAATGTTAACGTGTTGTTACACAAAATATTTTTTACCTCGACGTCGACTCCTGGCAAAGGAAACTTCCTTCGAGGTTCGTGGTCGCGCGGTACGTGGCGGAAGAACTCCTTGCCGTCCTTATACCACTTGACGGAGTAGAGCACGTCGGCCGGGCCCAGCGCCCAGCGGCACGCCAGCGCCGCGCGCGTGCCAAGCGCCACGTGTGCCGGCACCCGCAGCTCCAGCAGCTCCAAACTGGTAACTCCGTATTCTGCAAAGAAATACATTTGTTAAGAATGACAACATAAGTTTGACAATTTTCGTATGGGCATGAAAATACCGTTCATCGTTTCTCTTTAGGAATTTCAAAAAATCATGTCTTGAGTGTTTCTCTATGGAACTACATTACATAATTTACACGTTAAGCTGTTGTATAATCTCGATTAGGTATACAGCAGTAGCAGTCACCGATAATGAGTGAGTTTAAAAGGCATAGTGTTGACAATAAGGTTCGAATATGCTTCAAAAGCCGCTTGTGTTTTGTTATTTTTCAGTTTTTGGTAGTCATATAAATTCCTATTTAATTTCATAACCTAAAATGTATTATTTTCTTTATCACATAGGACAGTTATAATTAATAATGTCTGTTTGTAACAGTAACAGAACAAACTGAAAAAGCACAGCATTATTTCAGGGAATCATGTCTGCAACTTAAGTACTTAAAACCTTTTCCAATAAAAGCATCTCTACTAACATATGCAAGTATAACTATAAGTGGGTTGGTAGGTACCAGTATTTTTATTTGGCTGTAGGTAGCGTGTTATGAAGGCAAAAATCCATTAAACGCCACGTCAAATAATTTCCCATGTGACGCTCGCTCGCGGCCCGTAAAAGAGGCACTATTGCCCTCGCCCAACGGTGGATAATATTACTTTACGACCCGCGGGGCGAGCTCAAATGTAAGTAAATTGGTGAATAAAGACAACGAGCAAACAGTAACGGCATATGCCAATATTAGCACAACAATTTAGCTTCGAGACGATCGCACGAGAACTGACGGTTAATAAAAATTCCGACCGATCATTCTGCCAATGTCTTACGCTCATTTGAAATGATTTATTTCGCCTTGTTCGTCACAGACAACTGACTTGCATGGAAATGTCGGGGTGAAATATTATTAGCTTCTATTCAACCGACTATACAATTAGTGAATCTATTTACGTATTGATTTAAATCGGTATTTGATCGATATTTGACGGCGAACAGTGGCCATCATTTCATAATTACTAGTATACATACGCCTGAATCCAGCAACAGAGCACAACAACAACAACAGAGCAAAGAATGTCCATACATTATTTGCCTCACATACTTGGATTCAGTATGTACTAGTGAAGGATATCATTGCAAATAGGTAGGCGTGAATACATGTTTATCAACCTTAAAACTAGCAGTTTTTAAATAGCATGAAATGTCACAAAGAATATTCGACACAAGTGACTGAATTACAATGACTTAAACGTGCCTCCATTTTATAGGGCGAAAGTCATATTCGCGTACACAAAAGAGCATGTTATCCGCGCGTGATATTTAGATATCTTAGGCACGCATTCTGAGGGCTAGTACACTCTAGTGAAGACGGAAATGGTGCTAAGTGAGGTGTCAGCAGACGAGCGGGGCCGACGGGCGGAGATAGTGCACGAACCAGTCGCCGCACTTTAAGCACTATTCAGGCTGTACTCAGTTTGTAGTCTGTACCAATCAGTACATTCAAGTGAGGTATCGTGCTATCGATCCAAAGATCAAAAGCTACACGGAACGCATAAACACAAAATAACATTGACATAATTTTTAATGATGGCTGTCCGAAAAAAATGTGTCACATCTACCTATAGAAACACGTAGGAGAACATCATTAAAAACGAAAATCATTAAAAAGGACACGGGAGTTTTATTAATTCGCCATTTTTATTTATAACAGTCAAACAATGTATTGAAAAGCTTAAATTCGTCGCGTTCATGACTAAAGATTTTCATTTCAGATAACACTGGCTACGGTGGGGCTGAGTATACATTATTTGAAGTACGCACAGGACAGCCCTCCTCCTGCCCGTCTACTCGTCTAGCCGCTATCCAGAACAATCGGAGGCAATACTACGGTTCAGTAAATGTAACATTGTTCCTCGCCTAGATGCTGAACAAATATCGAATTGAATAAGTATCGATAGAATACTTCAACTGGTTTTTGAATAATTGCGTTCGTTATTGCGGATCCTGAACGGAAGACAAATAAAAACGAAGGCAATTTAGTGAATAATGCGCAGTTTGCTAGTTTGAGTTTGGTTTATGTTGGCGATGAGTCTGTTTGTAAACTAAAATAAATAACCGTAATTGATAAGCATTGGGGAAAGGCTAGTGAATTGTAGACACAAAGTTTCCATATCGAAACACGTATAGGTTATTTTTGAGTATGATGATGTCGCTCTGGGTACCTGACATCTATGACATCCTTTATATTTCAGAATTGACAGACGTCCGTTACGTCGTAAAGTAACTAAATTCAAAGATTTTCCCGGTTGATATTCCTTGGAAGTGACATAAAAACAAAAAAACCAGGCACAGGCAAGGGTTAAGTAAGTATTAACATTTTTGTCATAAAATGAGTTTTAGAACTGAGAGTAGTTGAATTTTTAGTAGTATATTGGTTGACATAAATATTATTGCAAAAATAGGTACCTACATTAAATTTTTTACATTGAATAAGTATTTATTGACGTTTTTTTAATAAATAATTCTTCAATATTGCATGACCTGGGTTCCAAAAATAGAGTCACACATAGAGTCGTAAATACAATGAAATAATGAACGGTTGTATCACCACTGCAGTACCCTAAGAGCTTTACTCATTGCTTCCTTAGTCAGATTATATTAGGAGTTAATTATTAGTACATCGTATTAATGAAACCATTTATTGTATTTTAATTAACTGAATGTTAATTAATAAATAAGCTGGATATAATATATTACAGTTATACTTATATAATACTAGCTGTTACCCGCGACTTCGTCCGCGTGAAATAACGACTTCCGTATAAATTGGCTTTTTTAAATTAGTCTTTGTCAAGGTATATTCTATGGCTGTACAACTGGAACAAATATCATCACAATCGATTCAGTACCTAGGTTATATTTATTGAGAAATGAATTTATATTCGTGGTTTCTAAAATAAACAATCCCATAGAGGTTTTACCCGTACAGTGCCCGTCTCGTGAGGTTTCACTATTCTATGTTTGCAAATCAATGTTGTATCGCATTTCAATCAAACAGATAAAGTGATTTTAACAGCACAGTTCCCTGTTTCGTGGGTTTTTCGGGTTAAAAACTTTTAGATGTCCTTTCCCGGGTCTCAAACTATCGCTGCACCGAATTTCACCAAATAGGTTCAATGGTTTAAAAGGTAAGAGCCCCTCTTTATTTCAACGTCCTTGGTCCTGGTTTTTTAGCGCATAGTTTCCGTCATTTTGGGATTTCCTCTCTCCTATAATGTGACCTCATATGTACCGGTGCGACGTGCGTTACTATCGCAAACATTTAAATGAAAAAATAGGTATTCTGATATTAGGTTAGTTACATATATGATACATGTACTTTAATGTTGATATTAATGTCCTCTATAAGACTTAATACATCCCTTGGCTCTATTATCCATAATTTCCACAGCGTAATCAATACCAATAATATAAGGAGTTTTTTTGGTAGTTTTTCACACATCGGGTTGTCATTACCTAAAGGAGATTTTTTTGAGGTCGGAAAATCATCCAATCACTTCTCCCGCCTTGGGTTAGGTGAGAGGGAGTGACAGATTCTTACTGACTAAAATCCACTCCGTTCCTACTCCTGCTCGTCGAGCCGGAGCCCCGTCGTTAGGCCTCCCGCGGCACCGTATCGAGCATCAGCCCTACTGGGCTCCATCTATGATGGTACCATGGCTCTGTAAGGCGCGCGCCGTATGCACGGGACTGGTTCTGGGTGCTTACTCTTGAATCCAATTCCGATCGATCGACATTGACATTGTGAAATTTCGTACTCTTGACTTGTAACACTAGCGCCTTTTGCATCCGTATTGCGTAGATATTTCATGAACTAAATGGTATTGAGTTTGGTTTTATATTCCGTACTCTAAATGCTACTTTAACTGCTACGGTAGGGGTTGTATAGTTTTGACATTAGATAATTATTGAGATTTTATTGGATTGAAATTACATTGACATTGAGATTGGTTTCAAGAGTAAGCACCCTGGTCGGGTGGCGAGCTACCTTTGCTCTTCGTCTACAGACCCGCACTTACGGTGGCCGGTGGCCGGCCGATCTCCGACGCCCAGAGTGTCTCCAGCGACGGCTGGGGCGTGAGGAAGTTCATTCCTTCACACACTCCGCTTTCTCCTTGGCAAGCATACTTAACTGCTTCGCAGAAGGATGCGACTGCATCCCAATCCCCCGCTCCATGGCCTGAACCAAAGCCGAACGCGAGAGGTCACCGTTTCCTACATCCCTGAGAACACGGCGGTGCTCAGCCCATGCAAGGTACACCGCCACGGTATGCTCCACCGTGTTCTCCGGGCGGTCCTTGCATTGATGGCCTCTCTAAAGCCACTTTTAAAGAGGGGACTTTCCGCTGCAATGACAGCGAGCCCAGCCCTCGGTTACCTAAAGGAGTGTTTCGCTGTGTAAGTGAGGTTACCAGAGGCCCAATTACCCCTCCCCCAGCCCCCCCAATCCCTGACAATCCTCAAATTACCAATTGCCAAAAGACCGGTAACGCACTTCTAGCACTTCTGGTGTTACAGGTGTCCATGGGCGGCGCAGATTGCTTACCATCAGGTTATCCGTCTGCTCGTTTACCAGCTTATGCCATAAACAAACAGCAACTATCATAGTGAATTTGGCCTTGACGGTCTAAAATGAAAAGGACTAATATTATTTTTTAGCTATGTGCATTTAGCTAGTTTTTTTGATATACATATAAAAAATACTTTATTCGTGGTTTTATCTCCTTAGACTGCTGTCAACCTCTTTGCATACCTTAATATTAATACCATAGTATAAAAAAAATCTATGACACATTGACTTTGTAAACTCACTTGTCACACAAATGTCAGATGACTTAAGAAATGTATACTAATAATATAAATTTGTATGTGCTTGTTTGTTTGTTTGTCCGTATTTCACGACAGAACGGAGTCAGGAAGGTTTTTGATTTGAGATAGTTGAAAAGATGGAGAGTAT